TATACCCCGCCCCTCTAGACCATGTCTAATTCTTGTCCCTTTAGCCTCTTAGTTAATCTATCAATTTCTGCACTTTCTGATTTTTTAAAATGATCATATCATCAGTTGATGGAATTTCATCTTTCCAAACCTGTGCCCATAATAATCAAGCTGTTGTCAAAACACGTAGTATTAAATAATAGCTTTGTATATAGTATTTGGTAGTAATCCTAACAAAAATATTTCAGGTTTAAATTCTATTTTGACATTTGCTTAATTCACATGTGGATTTTAGCCCAATAATTTTTTGCTTTATCACAAGTCCACCACAGATGAAAATAACTTCTTTCAAGATTTTTAAATTTCAAACACTTGTTTGACTTATTTGGGAACATTTTTGCAAGACTAGCTGGTGACAAATGGCATCTATAAAACATTTTATATAAATTTTCTTTGTAGGAAATTGCTAATGTTAACTTACAATTTTTTGCCCCTCTCTCCTTTTTTATGTTTAGCAAACGAAATAATGTTGAATTGACCTGGCATGGTAAGCATTTACATGAGTGCTGTATCAGTTTAACACTCAATTAGGAAATTTTTTTTTTGAAAAATATAATTTACAAATTGCACAGCAGTTGTAGTATTTACGGGGGTGGGGGGAGGCAGGCAAAAGGAATAGGATTGACCTCTACTCTATGCCTTGCCCTTTGAATCATCAGTGTTTTCAGCTGGACACGCCCAACACTGGCCCTACAGATGCCAGATATACCGCATGAGCCAAAAGCGAGGCAAAATAATGCAAGTGAAAGCACTACAAAAAAACACTAGCCCTGCCGGCCAAACAAAATACTCTCACACCAAAGGCTCGGATTGATTCGTGATAAGCGCTAACAATGTGTAATCAACAGAATAAATATAGAAAGGAACAGAGAAAATATGGCAAAAACAATGGGACAAATACCTGTTCCAGGGAATAGCAGTGGCAACTCCCAGCATTTGGACAAAAGGATTTAAATGTCTACACATACACACACAAATCATTTTGAAAGTGATCCCCTCACAGTCTAGGGATGAGTAACAAACAGACTCATTTCTGAGTAAATGGATGACTAACTGCTTCTATAAGGGGAGGTAGCCGTGTTCATTTGTGTGAGCATATCAGGAAGAATCCAAAGAAACAAAACAAAAAGACAAAAACATGTGGCACCTTAAAGGCTATCATATTTTAATGTAAGCCTAGTCCTTCAGGTGGCACATGTTTTAGTCTTTGTTTTGTTTTGATTGGATGCTGCTTGATACAAGTACCTTTAGAAAACCAAACTCTTATTATCCAATCCGCCACTCAATAGGGTAAAGTAATGCTGAATAACAATTATTGGCAGGGATGCCATCTAGTGGTCTCTTCTTTTTCTACATCTCTTCCTGCCCTCAAGAACTACGTACTGTACAGTCAGAAACAAAAACAGAATGAATCCCCAGTTCATGTACTTTAGGGAGAATGTAACTTTTCCCTTATCATAACCTGGGAGAAAGGTAGTAAGTAAGTAAGTAAGTAAGTAAGTAAGTAAGTAAGTAAGTAAGTAAGTAAGTAAGTAAGTAAGTAAGTAAGTAAGTAAGTAAAATAAACCAGCCACAGTCACAGTAGGTGTCCATATAAAGCTAGATTGCAGAACATCTAGCATTACAGAGCATTAGAGTTCTCTGTAGTGCAGCAATCCTAGCAATACACACCATAACTTTCACTTTTCTATCAGCCCCTGTCAATGGAGTTGGACCACTGGTTTCAAGAATAATCTGAAGCTTTTTCCTCCACTGCACGGTGGCATCCCAGATCTGCACCCTTCTCTTCCCCATTTGAACAACATGTATTCATCTTACATATCTATAATGTTGTCTCTTTTCTTTAGAATGAATGATAGGTAACTGAGGATAACTGGAATCCAAAATGTCTTCCAGCTCCCTAGCAGCTTCAGTCATTCAGAATCATCAAAAGCCTTCATTTGCTGCCTTTCTCTTGTAATATGGACAAACTGATTTGGAAGGTAACAGCGTTCCGAGTCGCACTGGCCATGTGACCATGGAAGATTGTCTTCGGACAAAACGCTGGCTCTATGGCTTGGAAACAGGGATGCGCACTGCCCCCTAGAGTCGAACACGACTGGACAAAAATGGTCAAGGGGAACCTTTATCTGGTCAATTACGACCACTCTAGGCGGCTTTCAGTGCTTGGTTACACTGCAGTGTAACTGTGGGCCTTCCAGAGCTCTTGAATCTTCAAAGATCCCCCACAGACCCAGCTGCCAAACATCAAAAGGAAAGACAAAACATCCCTGAAAATACATGTGAACAAATCCAGACTAACACTCCATAACAGCCAACACACCTTGCTATGTAAGAGATACCACAGGCTTTCTAAGGAAATTTCAGTCCACTCAGAGCTTCCCTGGCAACATCGTCTTAGCTATGATGGATGTAGAAGCTCTCTACACTAACATCCCACAAAAAGACAGAGTGTAGGCTGTCAGGAATACTGCTCAAAATAAGGATGAAGCCCACATCGTCACCACAGTCTGCCTACCTTGCCATCCATGTGTGACTGGGAAGGGAGGAGGCTGGCTTTATGTTTTAATACTTACATTTTCCTTCTTCATTCCTGCACAGGATTTTATTTTCATCCACATTTTTAATAACATCCACTGCTTCTCCTGGCTTCACTGGTAAGTCTTTCGAGCCTCTTTTCTTAGGACACGGTGCTCGAGTTACGGTCGTAGTATACAGAACCTGAATGTCACCTTCGTACTGTGAAAACAACAGCAAGAACTGACTGCACAGAAAGAAAGAAAAAACAAACCATACACTACTTTAAGTTCCCTCCCTTAACATTTTCTTCCTAATTTTGAGGAACGAGGCACACCGGGTTGCACAGATGTAACGTACAAACCGGTAGGTTGGGTGATATCCCAAGGAATGAAATTATAAAGAAATTACAAGAAAACTCATCTGATTGGTTGGGCAACTGGCACTGCAAGTTTTTTTAAATTTCAAAAATACTGGACCCCTGAATGATGATGGGTTAGGTGGAGTGGAGCCAAGGCAAAATTTATGGTTTGCTCTAGAGTTTAGAAGGGGAAGGTATGGAGACAGTGACAGATTTTAGTTTCTTGGGCTCCATGATCACTGCAAATGGAGACAGCAGCCACAGAATTAAAAGACGCCTGCTTCTTGGGAGGAAAGTGATGACAAACCTAGACAGCATCTTAAAATGCAGAGACATCACCTTGCCAACAAAAGTCAAAGCTATGGTTTTCCTTGTAGTGATGTATGGAAGTGAGAGCTGGACTATAAAGAAAGCTGACCGCTGAAGAATTGATGCTTTTGAATTGTGGTGCTGGAGGAGGCTCTTGAGAGTCCCCTGGACTGCAAGGAGAACAAACCTATCCATTCTAAAGGAAATCAACCCTGAGTGCTCACTGGAAGGACAGATTCTGAAGCTGAGGCTCCAATACTTTGGCCATCTCATGAGAAGATAAGACTCCTTGGAAAATACCTTGATGTTAGGAAAGTGTGACAGCAAGAGGAGAAGGGGACGACAGAGGATGAGATGGTTGGACAGTGTCATCGAAGCAACCAAAATGAATTTGACACGACTCTGGAATGCAGTGGAAGATAGGAGGGCTTGGCGTGCTCTGGTCCATGGGGTCACGAAGAGTCGTACACGAGTAAATGACTAGAGTTTATAGATAGGATGGGGAAGAATGGTTGGGTGGAGAATCAGATTCCCCTCCCCCCCATGTTTAGCCCTCTACAAGTCAGATGTTTTTGGATGCATGGCTGTATCCCGCCATTGTTCCTCAGGGGTCTGGCTTTGGTGTGCAGCAACATTGTCTGACAGAGGTTGCATTCCGTGCAACCATCTCTCTAGCTGAAGTCCCAGCTGCATAGGTGCACCCGTAACTGTCACCCTTGCTAGGGAGCATCTGTATAGTTCCCTTCCCTGGCTGGGTTCAGGCCTGGAGGCCAGAAGGTCTCCACCACTGACACTATAGAGAACTGGTGTCATTGGTTTACCGGCTGCAGTTTTCCCAGAAGCATCCACCTGATTGTCCACTGTGGAACCAGAACTGTTGGATTGGATAGGCCTTGAGATCTGATCTACACTGGCACTTTTTAATATTCTTATGTTAATATAACACAGTACTGTCCTATTGTTTTAAAACACACCTGAGTATTAGGCCCAATGTTATCACTCAAGTGAAAAGCAGGCACACTGGGCAGGCAAACAGAGCAGGTGTATACTATCTGTCAGAACTATATACAGTTTTGTTCACATTGTATACGGAATCTAAGTAATATGGCTTCTACTTCCTCTTAGAATCCGATAACTTCCTCTTAGAGTCACACCACAAGATTAGCTTGACAGTATAATAATGGGGAAATATAGCATTTTCACATGTTTTTCCCAGGAGAAACAAAGAAATACATTTACCCCACAAAAGAGAGAGAGAGAGAATGCTTCATAGTCAGTTTATGTAATGTAACATTTTAATAATGTAATCCTAAACATCACTATCAGAAATGAAATCTCACCATGTCTAATGGAATACTTACTATTAGGAATTGCTGATCTTTGTCAATAGAATTTTTTTTAAAACACAGCAGTAACTCACTTATGCCAATGGGATATACTTCCAGGTAAGCCGGTTATCAAGCATCATTGTGAAGTACAGTACATACTCACAATCAACATGGTGAGTTCAAAGACTTACCCCCTAGTAATACTCAGTGATCTCAGTAGAGATCTTCTAAGCTAAGGCAGAGTGATTGCCAGAGATTTGGGGATCACACATGACCATGTCTGGACCTTAGAAAGACTCAACACCTCTTTTTTTCTTACAATAAATGAGGAGGCATTTAGCTAAAAAAAGATCCCTAATGTCCCTTTAAAATTAAGCTTGGTTTCAGTTTTTAGTGGGGCCATATAAGGCCTCTCAAAATATGGCAAAATTGCCCCTGATACCCCTTAGAAGAGAGCAGAAAGGTGCTCACGGGTGCTGAAGAGCCTTGTCTGGGATCATGAGTCTGAATGCAGCATTTGGGCTGCATGTTGCTAGACTCTGTTGTAAGCCAATTATGAGGGGAATTTAGTATTCCACATGTTATTGGACTACAACCCCTCGTAAGTCAGGTATCTGAAGGCAGATTTCAAACAAACAAATAGAAAAACTCACTTTAAACTTCTTCCGGAATTCTTTTTCTTCTTTCTCCATTTTCTTCTGTTTCTGTGAATCCCGTTCTTCCGATTTGGCTCTCCCAAAGCCCAAAGACTTTGAATTTATCCCCAAGCTAAAACATCAAGAGTTGGAAAAAGGAAACCAAAAGCAAGGTCATCAGGATATGGTTAGTAGATTTGCAGCTTAGTCGTAAACTTTTATTTGCATGCAAAATCCTCATTAAATGCAATCAATAGACAAGAAGTAAAAAGCTAGTCTCCCGATAACCAACCAAAGGCAAAGAAGAAAACCCAGTAATCAATTGGTTTCTCAACAACAGCCAACAATATGCAACAAATACAATTTTAGAAATAAAACTACAATGTTATCATCTTGCAATTTGTTGTTGAGGTTGTTTCTTTCTTAAAAGTGCTATATATTTCCCTACAGAGGTAAGGAAAACCTTAAACTGAAAATACACTGAGGATACTAAAACCTTTTATTTGCCTATACCTTGTTTAATCAATGGATCTATGTTTTTTTTTCATTGATCTTTGTTCCTTCTGTACTATTAACCAGAGCTTTGCACACATGCAGATTTAAACAGAGGAACATGGGAAGGTGTCTTATACTAGTCCAGATCATTGGTTCATCCAGCAGAGTATTCTCAGTTCTTATTATCAGAGGATGTTTGTGGTTTGAACTTTTCCCCAGCCCTACCTTAAGATGCTGGGGATTGAATATGCAACCTTTTAAACATCTGCTTTACCACTGAGCAGCAGCCCAACCCAATGTGTTGGTCAGAATTATTGATTGTCTGTTGTTGCAACAGAGATCAGCCAAACTGTTGGGTGTCAATGTAAACCAACAATGAAAGCAGCTCGCATTTTGTTGAGTGACAGAACTGCGGGAATTCACAACAGGAGAACTGAACAACATGCATTCATTTGGGAAGCAGGGTTATGCTCAGGAATTCTGGCTGCAAGACCTGTCTCTCTCTTCCCCCCCTCCCATTCCATACAACCCTACAACCCAGGTTCATTCACCTGAGTTCTTTCGGTGGTGGAGGGAAGTCAGTTGGCTCTACGTCATCATAAACATCACTGTCTCCTGATTCTAGTAGAAAGAAATGTTAAAAGAAAATTAATATATAGTCACTGTGCATTGGGTATAGGATTCTCTTGCTGTTCCATGCCATAACAGTTATAAATCAGTATGTAATGTGTCAGATTGATGGCTTTTGTCAATATGAACAGGCAAACATCTATTAGGTGAACTAAGGGTCAAGGTTGTTCCACATTAACAGTACCATTAGCTTATGCACATATAACTGAGTTGGATTATGACCTCTGCTCCCACAGACCTAAAGAACCACAGGCTGAAATGCTGTTCCTTAGTGTAGTAAGTTGCAACCAGACTAGGCCCACTGAATCAATAGAAGCTACATTGGAATTAACTGACCAAATCCCCATTGACTCTATTTATTTGTCTGTTTATTTATATGCCACTTTTCTCCCTGTAGGTGACCCAAAGTGGCTCACAGCCAATAAAACAGATTTTAAAACATGGTAGAAATATCACATTTAAAAAACAAGTGAACACTATAGGCCTATTCTAGTTGCAACTTATTACTTACTACTTACTTAGGTGGCAACTCCTGTTATTTCAGCCAACAGCCTGGAACACTGCAACCTTAGCAACCCTAATTAGGAGCCTAAAATGTGAGGTTATGATGAAATAGCATCAGAAATATAAATAATCCATTGCATTTTACATAGCAGGGCTGCTATTGGCTAGCATTTGGAACAGGAGTGGAAAGCCTAGGTCAAATGTAGCTTGAAGATATTTTCCACCAGTGAATAAGCTCCTTCTGTTGTTCTGACCTAACAGTGATCAGAGAAATCATCATTTCTGCATAGAAATCAACCGCAGCTTGCAGAAAGAAAAGCTTAGGGCACAGTTCCATTCTTTGGGCAAAACGACCTACGACACTAAATGTGACACTTGACGTCTGAGCAAAGGTATCTGTTTGAGGCAAAGGACAAGAGAAAAGGTCCTCAAAGTTCCCTACAGAGAAGTCAGCTTCAGCCACAACAGCACAATGGCATTTTTTTCATCAAATCTGAGGGCAGCAGATTAGTTTTTGGGGTTCATGGGAGGCCCTGTGGCAGTAGAGCTCTGGAAAGGTGAAACTGGGGAGAGGACTCTGGTGGGGGCGAAAGCAAAACCCTTTCCTCCCATGCTTCAGAAAACGACTGACCATCAACTAACAATTTAGCTTGGGTGAGAATCTCCCTCTCTGTGCCAGTGGAAGGCCCCATTTCAATTCAGATAGGAGGATGGGGGCCTTCTATATGACCACTAGGCAAGAACCAAGAAAGGAGGAAGAGGAGATGGGATAATTCCAGGATACAGTTTTGTTTTTTAAATTACATTTTTAATTATATTTTTAAACTAAACATTACAAAATAATACAAAAATATACTGTTTCAGCTTGAGGTTTTAAAAAAACACAATCACAATCTAAAAACCAGTGGATCTTTTAATCTCATTACTTACCCTTCCGTGTTTGCTTTGCTGAAGAACCACTGTGTGGAAGTAAAATAAACACATAAACGATAGTCATTAATTGTTTTAATTACATAATAAGCACTTTATCCTAGGCTATATCATGTCATATGTCTGTGCATATAGAAGGATTTAATCAGTATCTGTTACTCACTCCGAACCTCCCATGCCATTCCCCACAGCTTGATTTGTTTCACTTAGATCTGCACTTATTCCAAGAAACCAGTCAAGGCATTCTCACTGGAGTCTCTGGAGGTTGGAGATAAAGAAGGTAACTTTTCTACATTCTGATCCAGACCCATGTTGCTTCAACTCAGATGCTGTCACCACCTATTTTCTCAGAATGCCATTGCCCCTTAAAATAGCCCTTGTTCTATACAGTACCTTGATTTCTAAAATTAATACCTTCATATAAGACAACTAGCATGAGGCTGAGAAGTCAGCTTAAAGCAAGTCAATCTGTTTTCAGATGCAGGATGAATGAAGAAAAGTAAAATAAAATGAGTTTTCCTATTCAAAATAAAACTAACTTCAATTTGGTGTAATGTTGTGATCACTGATAACCATTTAAAACTAGTTGATTCACCAAACTGCTATTGATTCAAGGGGCCTACTCTAGTGCAAGTAACTATTCTAAGCAACAGTTTTTCGTCCACTGATTCTAGACAACAGAGAAGCGTTTGGGCTGAAAGCAGCTTTTTCCTTTTTCTCTGGCATGGAAGCCCCGTGATTTTCCAGAGGAAAACAAAGGAGAATCCATACGCAGGGCATTTTATTTTTCCATCAACACCTTCAACTGCTGTGTGATTCTTTAAACATTCCTTATAAATCATCTACCCTGATTATGTCAACAAAACAATAGAGCAAAAGTTGGGCCATGTTAAGATTTTCAAAGGTAGCACCAAATGAAGCTATTCTGTTGTTTGAGCAACAACATTCTAGTGGCGTGTATTGGCTTCCCTTAAGACTCATGATCCACCGTAGGTCCTCTTGTGCCAACCCAACTGAAATGAATTGGAGGCATGTAAGAGTAGCAATGGATTTTATCTCGGGAACTATTTGTCTTGTTACTGTTCTGATGCCCCTGACAGCACCTTGAGCACACCACCCGAGATGATGATCACCTCTCTTTGCCTCCTGGTGCAGCTGCCTTAGCTGATATTTAACCATGACCAGGGATTGGAAAAGTTACTTTTGGGGCTACCATTCCCAAAAAAACCCAACCAGAACATCTATTAGTCACACTGGCTAATAGATACTCACAGTGTAGCACAAAAAAAGTAGTCAAGGGTAGAACATGGCCCAACTTTCAAGATGTAGTGCTTTCATAGATTTAGTTATTCAATTAGTATTTTGAATTATTTGGCTGGTTAGGCTGCTGTGAGAAGTGGTTAGTGGCTTATGATCAACAACACATTAGTTTTAGTGAACTGATTTTTTTCCACAGCAGTCTCTTACAAGGAATTTCCATTATCTTCTACCACATTGTCTTTAGTTGTTGTCTCCCGTACACTTTTCTTTTGGTTATTTTTCCCCTTTAAAATCTTCAAAAGGCCCCGTGGCCAGGAGTCATTCATATCTTCATCCTGCGATGCAGACCTTTGGAGTACGTATGCAATTATCACATGGCAAAGGAAATGCAAGACGTTTGAAATGACTTTCAGCAGCTACATTTGCTGGCTGGTATATTTACGGCACTTTGAACATTAATTTAAAAAAATCCTGATAAACTTCGGGGCCATTCATACAGCTGATCCTTTAGGAATGCATTTGAGGGCCACTCTATGCTTAACACAGTTAAACCTGAATGTTGCACATATTCTGGTAGTTCTTGCCTCAAAGCAATGAAGTGTGAGCAGCCTACAAGTGTATATATGCAGCTTGTCCAAGGACCCCATCTACGCAACCTGTGCGTGACACCTACTATGTTATGTGTTTGCTGTGACAAAGACAGTTTCAACAGCAGTGTAGAGCAGGAATTTGATGTGGCCTGTGAAGGATATGCCTGAAATGTTTCAAATACAGTGGTGTCTCGCTAGACGATGATAATCCATTCCACTGAAATCGCTGTTTAGCGAAATCATTGTCTAGCGAAAAGCATTTCCCTATTGGAATGCATTGAAACCTGTTTAATGCATTCCAATGGGGAAGAATCGCTGTTGTCTAGCGAAGATCGGCCATAGGAAAGTCACTTTGCGAACTGCCGATCAGCTGTTTAAATAGCTGTCTTGCGAAGCTTAGGTCCTGGAAACACCCGTTTTGCAAGCACGGAGGGAGCTGTCAAAATCGTTGTCTAGCAAAAATTGGTTTGCGAAGCAGGGACCAAACATTGTCCAGCGAAATTCCCCCATAGGAATCACTGTTTTGCAAATCGCTATAGCGATCGCAAAAAGTCAATGTCTAGCGAAAAAACTGTCATGCGGGGTAACTGTCTAGCGAAGCACCACTGTATGCAGCTACAAATGCAATGCTTGATAACCAACCATTTTGTTTTTGGTAACACAGCTACAGCAGATATAATTGTCAGGCACAGCTTCAAGTTGAGTGTGCAATTGAAAATAATAATTAAAAAATTGAGCTGTCAACTCGGTTCTGGCTTATGGCTATTCTTTTCAGGGTACTGTGTAAAGGTTTACTATTTCCTTCTTCTGGGGGTGTCCTGGTACCATGCAGCCTGCCTGAAGCTACACAGGCTGACTCTTCTCCTGGGTGGCACAATGAGGAATGGAATTCCCAACCTCTGGCTATGGACACATGCACACATTTATTATTTCTGATGCTAATATACCACCCAAGCTCACCGTGGTCAAAAGTAATAAATACAATAATATTGCAAAATATAATAAAAGCAGGAAGGTAATATACTTATATTTTGTGTTTCTGTGACCTTTCTAATTGATTTAGCTTGGTACGTATTCTAAAGGAAAGTCCTAGAATTTTAGAAAGAGTTGGAGGAGTACAAAGCTGTGTTCCTCAGAGTGCAGACATATCAGCACTAATCGGTGGACAGCTCATGGATCAGGGCCCAAAGTCAGGGCAGCTGCCCCCTACCCCTAGTCACAAGCTATCTCTGTCCTAATCACCTTGATTTATGGTATTAGCATTTAATATTTCAGCTATATTGGATTTAACAGGACAAAGAGATATAATAAACAATCTATTTCCTGGACTTTGAAAGCATGGAGATTTTTGTGGACCATTTGTATAATCAGTTCTGGCTATGGTGCCTTTCTTATGCATGGAACTTAATGGACCTATTATATGAAATATCCAGTTTTAGATATATTATCTTTCCAACATACCGCTTTGGAAGATCGTCTTCATCATCAACTCCATCATATATTTCATCAGAGGATGGTGGAGGTGGGAATCCAACTTGAAATAGAGACAAAAGTATTAAAATCAGGGTGTAGTTTCTTTAACACTAATATCTGAACCAGGGGGTCAAGGCAGAGTGGATTAGTGGGCAAAGAATAACAGAAGAGCCAAAACATAAATAATAATAATAATAATAATGTACCATCAAGTCAATTCTGACTTACAGCAACCATTTTCAAGATTTTCAAGGTAGAGAATACTCAGAAGTCATTTCACTGCCTTTACAGTGCAGCCCAAGCTCAAAGGGATGCCAGCCATGATGGGACAAAATTAGGCATACACCTCTTCTGAAGGCAGAAATACCCTACTGCTGACTGAACCTTTTTTGGTCACTGACCTGCTGACAGAGTGATGTGCCATCAGAACTGTTTCATTGACTAAGATCCGCTGGCTAAGAAGGGGGCAGGGAAGGGATGGTGTGAGGGAGGATGCAAGTTGAAGACACAGCTATAATTCCAGCACAAAGCTGAACAAAGGAGAGAAGAGCCCTCAGGAATGTCCAACATTGCTAGGGTGAAGGGCTTAGAATGCTAAAGGTCAAATGAGACAATACAACAGTTCCACATTTTAAAGTGGCGTTCCTTTAGGTACTAAGAGATGATTGAATTGCAACATTATTCAGATGTATCTAGTTGTCTCTTCTGAGATAAGAGAAAAAACAGATAGTCAAAGCCAAATGCTTTAAGATCACAAATAAACTGGTAACAGGTAGGTCTTTCCCTTTCAAAGATTGCTTTTTGATCATTTGTTTGTTTCATTTATAGGTGACCTTTCTCCCAGCAAGGGGACCCAATTTATGAATAGAACAATTTTATATCGGCAACTTTAGTAGGAAAATGAGCTTTCTGCATAGATGAGTGTTGAAGAGGGAAGGCAGCCTGTCGTAAATAGAGCTTTTTTTGTGGTTGTTGTTTTTTTGGAAGAGTTTTATGAATGGACAATAAGGAGACTGATTTTATAGAATAGATAGCCAACTTCCCAATTGCTGGTTTTAAATATTATTGTGGCCTTAAGTCACAACCTCATTCTGAGTTCTGTTTCTTGACAGTTCCTTCATTACCGGCTCAATGAGACAGACAGACAGACAGAGTTTAATTCTTTTATAAAAGGAGAACTTACCTCCTGTGGTAAGTTGACCTCCACTTTGACCATAAAAGGAAAAGGAGAACAAAATATTAAGGGCACAAAAACGCATACACACAAATGGACACAAAAAAGCAAGGGTATGGAACCCTTTGCCTTCTGTACATTTTTGGAACAGAAATCAGATCACGCCTGACAACTGGTCATCCTGGCTAGAGCCTATGGGCCACATGTTCCCTACTTCTGCCTTGAAGGCTGCAGTTCTAAATATGTCTCTTAGAGAGTAAGATCTACAGAACGTAGTGGGACCTACTCCTAAAAAAACACATATAGGGTCACAGTTTGTTTATTTATTCATACATGTCTGCTGCATTCCATAACCTATGCAAAGCTATCCAATTGCCTAAAAAATGCAAACAAGGTTCTGACTAGTTTAGCCAGCCAAGATTACAACATTACAGAACGTGAGAAGTACTTTGCTACCATCTTGTCCTTCAGTGCCATGACCTTGGAGAACTAGTCCTGAAGTACTGAAAGCAAGGGAGAGTCCCTGCACCACTGCCATTTTGCTGTATGTGCAGCAGACACTCTTTTAAAGCCTACACTATAAGTTCAAGTTACACTTTAAACAGTATTCTCCATCATTTCTGCAAAATGACACAGGCACTTGCCATGGCTGCCTTAGACACAATGCTTTCCTGTGAGGAAGGAGCCCTTCAGAGTAAGAGTTATGGTGTGAGGGTTCTGGAGGCTCCCTCAGGAGGGGTACCAGCCATATTTAAAGCACCAGTAGCAAATACAATACAAAATTAAAAATAATTTGCCACAGCTATGAGTAGAGATAGGGATGTTTGTATTCGTCTACAAATATAAATATCTCAGTCCCAGCTGCAACTAATGAGGGTCCAGCCCCTAGAACCTACCTGTCCTATCATGTGTCACCGTGTGGCCAGCTTCCTGCTCTTCCCACCAATCACAGAAGTAGCTACTCTGTCTCCCTGCTTAGCTGGCCACTCAGCAGTCATGTGAGCAGACTTGTCATCCTGCCTGGAGTGGTCAGCTGAGCAGAGAGACAGAGGAGCTACTTCCGTAATTGGCGGGAAGAAAGGGATGCTGGTGGTGCACCAGTGTGTGAATGGACAGCCCAGTTCCAAGGGGCGTACCTGCATCAGTTGCAGCTGGGACTAGGATATTTGTATTCATAAACGAATACAAATATCTCCATCTCTAGCCATGAAAACAAAGCAGCATTCTACAGGTTCCTCCTGGAGCGACTTAGAAACAATGGTACCATTCATAATACAATACACCTCTGTTACACCTCTTCTGCTGCACATATAAGAGAATCGTGGCGCAGTGGTTAAACTGCTGTACTTCAGCTGAAATTGTGCTCACGACCTGGGGTTCAATCCCAGGTAGCCAGCTCAGGGTTGACTCAGCCTTCTATCCTTCTGAGGTCGGTAAAATGAGTACCCAGCTTGCTGGGGGGGGGCAATGTGTAGCCTGCATAATTAACTTGTAAACCGCCCAGAGAGTGCTTGAAGCACTATGGGCGATATATAAGCAGCACGCTTTGCTTTTTTTTTCTTACTCACTCTTTTTTTTAGGGTCAAACAATGACTGAAATCCTGTTGCTCAGCATAGTAACTTACACTAGAGTAAGGTGACGGAATTAATGGGGAATGGAATTTATGGAGCAGGTGAGTCACTAAAAATCCCCATCAATTCAATGGGCCTACTCTAGTATAACTGACCACATTAGGCAACAAGATTTTGTCCATTATGCTTCAAAAGTTGAAATGATGTTAGTGTTCCAGACGCTTTAGTGTCTGGACAATCACACTTACAAACAATGCATATTTATCTTCTAATGTCCAACTGCAAAACAAAGTAAGCCAATCTGCAAACTGTGGGTGGAGTGAAAAACGTGTACTGTCACAATCAGTCCTCTTTCAGTATGCAACACTTGCCTATTTCTAATAATTTGCTGCCTATAATGTACAATTTGACCCAGAACTAAACTGTATCTTTAACTCTGACATACCTGCTGATGCTGTCCTGATCCCCAACATCATCATACACCTCTTGGTCACTGTCTTGCTGCCTTGGCTGAACATTTATGGGGGGTCGTGGCTTCCTTCTTAAGGAATCATAGTCGATTTCTACCATAGTAGTTTTAATGTAGCCATCTGAAACACAGAGTAGAATAAGGAATAAGGGGGCTCCAGACTGGCTGACTGTCCTTTGTTTTAACAGATGGGACATAAATTCCAAACTGCTAGCTGAGGAAGAGCCTGATACCTACCTGCATACTGCAGCTATTTCCACCTAAAAAGCTAACCTGGCTTTAACATGTGAATTAATAACAAGAGTATAATTTTCGAACTACCCAAAAGAACTTGATGCACAGCCTTGAAGAAGATTTATCATCGAAAGCTTGCTGTTTGTTTTTTGCTTTAAAATTTTAATAGTTGAATAAAGTTATAATCTGTTCCTGCATTTGTAGAGTAGCAAATGACCATCATTATAGGTTCACGGTAACCTAAGATTATTGTTGTTATTTGCTTTCAAGTGGCTCCCAACTTATACCGACTGCATGAATTAGTGATCTTATTTTATTTATTATCTCCAGAGGGTCCTATCATTAACTGTCCTGCTCAGGTTTTACAAACTACAGTTTGCTCCTTCTTTTATTGAGTCAATCCGCTCCCTCTTTTCAGACTGGCATCACCTTTAACCAACATTGCTGTCTTTTCCAATGAGTCTTGGCTTCTCATGATATGACCAGATGAAAGCCTCAGTTCTACTTGTAGAGAAACTGCAAGCTTAAATTGAGAGGTGCATTTTAACAACCCTAAAAAATGAAAACCATAATGCAAGGAGATCTCCTGCAGGCCGAAAGCATCTGTTCCTCATTTGGTCCCTGGGGGCAATTGATGATGGCAAATGTAAAGCCGACATGCTAGATAATCAGAAAAATTATGTCAATTCAATAGAAGTGGAATAAACTATACAAATAGAAGAAATGCTTGCTTTGCTTTTGTACATTATTAAACCTTGTCAATGATATAATGAATTTGTGTCTTGGCTAATACTGCACATTTCTGGAGGGCCCATCATGCATTTGGATATAAATACCTGAACCAGACTAATGTCTTTGTTTTTAATTTGTTTTAGCCGCCTAGAGTGGTCCGTTTGGACCAGATAGGCAGGGTATAAATCAAATAAATAAATAAATAAATAAATAATTGCAACAGCATTTGGATATAAATACCTGAACCAGACTGATGTCTTTGTTTTTAATTGCAACGTAGTGGATTAACCCCTACCTCGATACAGTTACTTACAAGGAAACTCACTGTTCTCTGGGCCTGCCTCAAAAGGAAAACACAAACCTAAAATATTTCTCTGAGAGTTCTCGGTGACTAAAAACACCTTAAAGAAAATCAGTATGCCAGCGAAACACACTGCTTACCTCCTACTGACCAGTTTCCAAATAAATGCAACCTCATTTGCTACTTGTGGAGCTGCAGATGTTCTTCACTTGCTAAGGCACCTCTTCTTCTAACTGCAAAATTGAAGCCTCCTCTCTTTCTACCAAGTGTCTGTCATTAGCAACAGACTGCAGTGCTGAGTTAGGCACAGAGGCGGAGGCAAACAGGCCAGTTTAGCCTCTGGAAATGTATTTGGGTGCTGCTGATCTCCTTAGAAATCACCTCAGATCTCTAAGGAGATCACCAGCACCCAAACACACTTCCAGAGGCTCGGCTCAGCTGTTTTACTTCTTCTGGTTTGGTAGTTTGTGGAGTTGTAGTCTAAAAAACTAACGTTTCCAAGATCTGAAGTGAACTTTGACAGTTGGTTGGAGACTTTAAGCCTATACACATTCTGTATATTTGTAAATAAACTCTACTGTTACAAAGGGATAATTCACTTTTTCTGATGACCTTTACTTTTCAGAAGACCAAACCCAGAAATCCCTGGAATGTCTCCTCCTTCAGAGAAGGAAGGACGGGGTGGCAATACTTCAGTGAATAAGCAAATAAACATTCAGTCACCAGAGGCCGTACAGACCCTGCAAACAGTGTGTGAATTCAGCTGTTGTGATGAGGAGAAAATTATGTTGATGCAACACATCAACAGAAATTGAGTCCACTCCTGCATTTTATACCTACAGGAGCCTCTTGTCCTTCCTAGCCACTTCCCTTCCGGATTGTCTGTGAGGCGGATAATTTCAATTTGATCCCCTTGTTTGAAGGACAGGTCATTCTTCCCTCCTTTGTAGTCTGTGCAAGCTCGGGCCTGGTGTATGACTTCAATGGGACCTGTGAGCTGCCCAAAACAAGGGGAAAGAATTTAGCGTACAAGAACACCAGGTCTATAACTAGGTTTAACATTTTATTAGAGAACAACATGGAAAAACTGTAACCGAAAGATGAAGCTAGCTGGGATTTACATGAAAATGAGTGTAAGCTCATCTTGTATCCCTACATTTCCCCTCTTCCTCTAGGGTAGCCGTGCAAAGCTTTCGCTTCTGGTTTTGCAAACGGTTGCTTGCTGTGTCATCCAAACATGGACAAAGCATTGGCTTATCTTAGAGCAGTGATGGAGAGAGAGAGAGAGAGAGAACAGGCAAAAGTAGAGAGAGCAGGCAAAAGTATCATAGTTTATTCCCCAAATCTGAATCCCAGTCTCTCTTTTCCTGGTACTGCTTTGACTGAAACACCAAACAAAAGGTCTTACAAATAAAAGACTGTGGCTTTCTTTATTGAGTCAATCCATCTCACGTGCAGTCTTCCTCTTTTCCTACTGCATTGCACTTTTTCCTGCATTGCTGCCTTTTCCAGTGAGCTTGTCTTCTCATGATGCCACTGTAGTACAATACCCTTTGCTGGGTTATTTTAACTTCTAGTGAGAGTCCACACTTAATTTGCTCTACTTATCTTTCTGATAAGTCATGATATCTATCTTTCTGCTTTTCTGACAAGTCATGATATCTGTAAATCTTTTTTTCCAATGCTACATTTCAAATAAGTGAAATGTGTGTATACACTTTATGTAGTGTATAAAATGTAAGTATGCACTTAAAAATGTATATACTTTATGTAGTGTATAAAATGTAAGTAAGCACTTAAAAATTTTGAACTCCTATATATAGCTGCTTTTCTGAGGGTAGTTTACTTTGGAGGAAACCAGTTCAGGATTTCAATATACTTAATAAGCTTTATAAATAGGGTGCATTTAATTCAGTGTAGCATTTTGCACTTGACTTTTTTCTAAAAGAGGTGTTAGTTGGAGGAATCAATAAAGAACCAGAAAGACAAATGTGTAAATGGCATGAGTTGTTTCTTCTAAACTAAAATCTCAGTATTCAGGTTTAATTGCAGTGTTGGCATTCGAAATAAATAATTTGGTTTTGTGTTGCTGTTTGGACACTCAGGCTCAAAAAGGTTCACCATCACTGTCTTAGAGTATCGAGGGGAGCTTTATTTGTACTATAACTCCTACAATCTGCCAGCCATTTTTTTAAGTCCAAAAAAGTAACAAGCTCTGATTAATCATAACTTTGGTTAGTGGAAGAAAGCCTATTTTAGACCATACTATATGATGCTAGATCTCCCACATAATGCACTTACACATTATCTACAGTTAAGATAAACCATAGTTTATGCTTCAGATAACTTGCTAAACTGTGGTTAATTGAAAATGGGAGCAGAAGCTTCAGGGTTTATTTGTTAGGTTTATTTGCAGTGGAAAACTAATGACACCAGAGACCCAGTCTTTGATCCTTGTCAGAAGGACTGTTGGTTAACTATTATTTTTATTGCATGATTCTGTCAGTACTCAAAACTACAAAACTGACTTTGTCTAGAGTAACGAAAATGATCCTTAATGGCCCAAGAATAATTATGGGGTTGCCAGGAATATAAAAGACAATGCATGAAATAACAATGAACTCTATTCATAAAACTGGTAAACACTTAAATACCTGTGATAGCTATATAAGATCTTTCCAAAGATATACAGCTACTTACACCTATTGCTATGGGTGGCTAGATTCACTTTCTCTGAAGACTTCAGCCAATCTTTGACAATAATTTATAGTTAATATCTGTAACAAACATAAAGCTAAAATATAAAAAATACAAAGCATGGCTCCTTGAGGGAGTTGCAGTTCTGAGTACAGTCACTTATGTGCAGTTGGATTTATTTCTCAGTAAGCCTGAGCAGACACACATTTGAGTGACTTTGGATCTCCTGGATTAGTATGCCCACACTGGAAGCACCAGCATCAGGTGACAAGAGTAGACCTTTGGTCTAGATGGGCGGGGTAGAGATCCAATAAAATAAATAAATAAAAAAAATAAGGTCCTTCTTTTGCTACCATCAGCGTCGGAAACATGAAGGGGACCCACAAAATGGCTGCTTCCACCCTTTGGGTTTCTCTGCAGAGGAAACCTCGATTACTCTCTTTCTCTCTGTTGTCCTCACTTTGAGGCAAATACCTTATTCAGACAAGCCTTTGGTATGTTAGATGGTTAATTTCTGAAGACATTGGATTGGCTGAGTGCTCTTTATTTCTTTTACTGTTGTGTCTTTGCTTGTGGGTTTGTTTGTTTTGTAGGCTGCCTTTCTCCCGATAAGGGGGCCTTGGGCAGCTCACAATATTAAAAAGAAAAGAATTAAAAACATAATAAGTTACACATTAAAAACCCCAATTAAACTGTATGCTAATTAAAATACAATTGAATAATTAAAAGCAAGTAAACCTTAAAAGCTAACTTAAGCATTCAGGGACTCAAGCATGATTGCTAAAAGTCTTCCTGAAAAGACAGGTCTTCAGCTGTCCGCGGAAGGATAGAAGGGAGGGGGCCTGCCTGACCTTCCAAGGGACAGCATTTCATAACCTGGGAGCTGCCACCAAGAAGGCCCTCTCCCGTGTCCCCATCAGCTGTGCTTGTACTGGCAATGGGGCCGAGAGGAGGGCCTCCTCCGACAATTCTAAAGTCTGAGGAGAGATATGGTCCTTCACATAGCCTGAACCCAAGCCATATAGGGCTTTATAGGTAATGACCAGCACTTTGAATTGATTACTTTGTACCTTAACGTTTTAAATAAACTTTTTAAAAAACCCTCCATTTTATTATTAATAATTACCTTGAGAACCCTTTTCGACAGAGAAGTGGAATACGTGTGTAATGAATGTGTTCGAGAAACAAACAATTTAAATTCAGATTGAACCAGCAAGAATTTTCTGCAGTCAGGTGAAATATCAAGAATGTCTGCCAATGTATGCATATATTTCTATCTGACTTTTTCTTTGCATCATTTCCTCATATATAGCCTTACTTTGAACTTCTTTCTGACTTCTTGTTCCTTTTTCTCTTTTTCCTTATGTTCTTTCTTCTCTTGGTCAGATTTTTTCTTTTCCTCTTTCTCCTTTCTCCTTTCGTCTTCTTTACCTGTAGATCTGCAAAATGAAAAGGGATGAATTTTTGATCTGGCAGACAAGAGAACAAAACCGTAGTCAGGATGAAAGCCAAAATGAACCTATTCTGTCTCTACCCATGGGAAAGAGCTATGAAAACTAGAGTAATTCCTCTTGTGCACAGACTCCCAGCAAGCAGGTGCTTCTTTCTTTCTCCATAGGGTGAAAGGGATAACATGTTGATTACAGGGTGAAAGGGATAATATGTTGATGGCAGAGATAATGTTTGAATTAAAGCTTATGGTTACCACCCAACTGCTCTTCATTTTTGTGACTAGATCTGCAGACTCATGGTTAGGGAGATTAATCTCTAGATTATGGTCAGTGGTAGGAAAATAAATGCCAACAACTTCAGGCTCTATTCACCCCCACTTAATCTTTTTTAAAGCACAAACTTTAGCTTTTTATGGGGTTTCCTCATTTTCCTCCTCCATTTTCTTGGGTGCGAGCATGCCTACGTCTCAAGCCAGAGTGGATGGGAGAAGGTGCAAACATCCTAGCTGTCAGAATTGTTAGTTACAGATCTAACACTCTCTTTGTTTCTGCACTCTACCCTCAAGCCAGAGTGGATGGGAGAAGGTGCACACATCCTAGCTGTCAGAATTGCTAGTTACGGATCTACACTCTACACTCCGCACTCTACCTCTGGGACACTTTTCTGCAAACGTACGTGCAAGAATTTGGCATCAATAAATGACAATCTTGGCTCTCTATAGCAGTCTTCTCCCAACCGGGAACCTCACATGTGTTGGACTACAGTTTCCATTAACCTCACCCATCACGGTTTGGGAATACTGGGAAATGTAGTCCAAAACATCTGGAAGGTACTAAGTTAACACCTCACCTCACCCATCACGGTTTGGGAATACTGGGAAATGTAGTCAAAACATCTGGAAGGTACCAAGTTAGGGAATTCTGATCTCTGGAGCCAGGGTAATGAAGTAAACCTTCCTTTTCATCTCTCTCTAGGAAACAATAAATGAAGCCTCAGATTCTGTTTTTTGAATCTTTTACAGTGCTGGTCCCTACTTATTCACAACTTGCATTATTATAGACGGTTTGGGAATACTGGGAAATGTAGTCAAAACATCTGGAAGGTACCAAGTTAGGGAATTCTGATCTCTGGAGCCAGGGTAATGAAGTAAACCTTCCTTTTCATCTCTCTCTAGGAAACAATAAATGAAGCCTCAGATTCTGTTTTTTGAATCTTTTACAGTGCTGGTCCCTACTTATTCACAACTTGCATTATTATAGTCGTATGTTCCCCCCTCTCTCCCCCTCCCACCATCATTCAGTTTTGGGATTCTATTCCTCTGAGTTCCATCTTATCTTTAAATCTACCTTTTTCATACCTCATGTCTTGTATGTCTTCATACATTTCCCCATCACTGCTTGGATGCTATAAGAAAAGGAGAAAAAGAATAGAAATCTCAATATTCTTTGATACACTTAAATGGGACACAGAAAACTACATCCCTATTTAAGGGTAAAACACAAACCTCATTCGATCATTTCCTAACCAAATGATTGGTCAAACAAGATCTGTTTTTAGAGCTTGATTAGCTGTTCCTGTTCTCAGAGTCACCAAAAAGAGCTCAAAAACCTTTCCACATGCAGATTCTGTGGTAGAATCTAGTGCCACAATACTGTACTTTAATCATATATATGACAGTGGAACCAGTTGCCTCGAGCGTTGGTGAGTGCTCCAACACTGCAGGCATTCAAGAAAAACTTAGATAAACATTTGGCAGATATGCTTTGATTGTATTCCTGCATTGAGCAGGGGGTTGGACTTGATGGCCTTGTTTCTATGATTCTATGATATATCTATTTACTATGGCTCTCCATCCATTTTTTTCATCTCTTTCCATGTGTACACTTTCAACATCCTTTCAGCTCAGCCACACACCCCCCCAAGGAATGCAAATATGCATGGGGTTGTGAAGCACTCTAAAGACCATAAAGCACTCTTTCCCAGTGCAGAGCTCCCCAGCATCACACCACCCCCCTGCAATGTGCTAGATTATGACTGTCGTGATCGTCAGCCAACATGGCACATAACCGGCGGTTAGGTTAAGAACCACTGTGCTAGATTATGACTGTCGTGATCGTCAGCCAACATGGCACATAACCGGCTAAGGCTGAAACATCAGGAGGGAAGGTGTCCTGCAGAACCATCTCTGGAATGGAATTCTACTGGAATCCTAATTTCTAGCCATGACTATACTGCAGCTTACATCGTGGTTTGGGCTGGAGTTGACATGGTTATATTCCAAATCTGTTCCACAAACTACATGATGTACAGCTAGTTGTGAGTAAGCCCCATCTTTTTTTCATGGCCATTCATTGTTTTTGTTCAGCTGGCAGAGGGAATTGTTCTTTTTTAGCCATTCCAATCACATTTTTTCTGTATTGTGGCATATGTGATCACTAACAATCTAAAGGGACGTGGTGGCGCTGCAGGCTAAACTGCAGAAGCCTGTGCTGCAGGGTCAGAAGACCAAGCAGTCATAAGATCGAATCCACATGACGGAGTGAGCGCCTGTTGCTTGTCCCAGCTCCCGCCAAAGTAGCGGTTCGAAAGCATGCAAATGCAAGTAGATAAATAGATTCCAAATCTGTTCCACAAACTACATGATGTGCAGCTAATTGTGAGTAAGCCCCATCTTTTTTTCATGGCCATTCATTGTTTTTGTTCAGCTGGCAGAGGGAATGGTTCCTTTTGTAGCCATTCCATTCCAATCACATTTCTCTGTATTGTGGCATGTGTGGTCACTAACAATCTAAAGGAACAGAGTCTTGTCTGTCCTAGGATGAGGTTGGTGGGAGGCCTTTTTTTAAAAAAACTTACAATTGACATAGCATTGCACTGCTCTAACAACTCGTGAACTGTAGTGCTTCTCTGACATAGCACTACATTGGATATGCATAACAAAATAATTATTCAAAGGGGAGAGAGGAGGCACTCACTTGAGCGGTAACAGCATTCCGTGTCTAAGTCGCACTGGCCAAGTGACCACGGAAGATTGTCTTTGGACAAACGCTGGCTCTATGGCTTGGAAACGGGGATGAGCACCGCCCCTAGAGTTGAACACGACTGGACAAAAATTGTCAAGGGGAATCTTTACCTTTAACAATCTAAAGGGATAGAGTCTTGTGTGTCCTAGGATGACGTTGGTGGGATCCCTTTTTCAAAAATGTACAATTGACATAGCATTGCACTGCTCTAACAACTCGTGAACTGTAGTGCTTCTCTGACATAGCACTACATTGGATATGCATAACAAAATAATTATTCAAAGAGGAGAGAGGAGGCACTCACTTGAGGGGGATATTCCAACTATATTGGTCTATCCTTCAGCATGGTGCAGCATGCCAGTATAACAGGAAGATTGCCTTCATGTGAGCATGCCTTGCCTCCCTCTTCAAACAGATTTCTTTTAAACTATGCCTTTCCTATTTAGTGCTATGTCAATAAGCACTGCAGTTTCACAAGCTGTTATATCAATTCAACGCTATGTCAATTACATTTTTTAAAAAATGAGATGGAGGAGAGGGTGGTGGTAATGACACAGGAGGATGGGTGACCCAGAATCCCAGTGAGTGGTGTAGCTATTTGAGTTACAATGTGGACACCTGCTCCTAGCATTGCCCCTAGGATAACTGAACATACTGCATGAATGACCATTGTGATTCAACCGTCATAGGAAACTTTTGTGAAACAGTCTAGATTCAACTAAATGTAAACATCCATGTGGATTGAAACCATCATAAATCCACCCACATGCACAGAACCAGCCTTCCCCAACCTGGCACTTTTTAAATATTTTGGACTTCAATTCCTATCAGCCCCAACCAGCATGTGCAGTAGTCCAGAATCCTGGGATTCACACTTGAGAACATCTGATTGGGGAAGGCTGCACAAGACAGTAAGAGAACTTCTAGCAACAAAATAGGCAGGCAACAAATGGCATGAATAACAAGATAGACAAATCATGCTGTTACAAAGAGCTTTGCATCCAAAAGATGGGCGGTTAAGCACTGAAGATGCATCCCTGGATGTGTTAACCATAATACATTGGCTGAAATCCTGTTCAGATGGAAGTAATGTACAGTTACACCTACAGAAGTGAGTTGGGCCTTATACCTGGGCAGCCAGTGTTGTGCAATCAATCCCATTGTTCACACTGCAGTTGTGCAATTTATGTCATAGTTGTACAATTGTTTGTAGAAGTGTTTTATGGATGTTACTTCCACCTTGTTAACATTTCTTTACTCCTTCTGCAGCTTAGCTTTGCACACGTACAGCTAGCTGCACAACAGGATTTCAGCCACTATGATACATTTATATATCATGGAAGTGAATACGAACCTCATCTGATTTTCTGGTTCCTGAAAAAATCAAAAGGCAAAATATGATAGTTTTATTTTGCAGGAATGTCTTGGAACATAATTTAGCAAAGTCTATCTGCAATTAAAGCAGAATTAGTGCATAAATTTCCCTCTCCACACACTTTGTCTGAAAATCTTTCTATAATAGCCTCCCACAACCCTGTACCCTCCATATTTTTCAGACCACAACCCTTATCATCCCCAGACAATGATGGGAGTTGTAGCCCAACACATCTAGAAAATACCAGCTTGGATAAGGCTGCTGTAGAACAGAGATAAACATTTGAACATGCAAGAATTGTCGTCAGACTCAAATACTGGGGCTCCATATAATATGAAATTGCTACCAAATCATGATTTTACTCCTATAAGTGTACAAGGATGCCCTAGAATGCATTTTATACTATAAACATGTAGCATAATATAAAATTATATTGCCCTGAAGCAGTATAAAGTGTACTAAACTGTGATGGTTCTGTTTTTACAGGTAAACTATGGTTAGTATTTTTAAATCACATAGTTTAAAGAGTTTAATTTTAATGTTAAAATGAATTGAATTTTATTTTAATATTTGGAATTCTATGGTATTTTAGTTTTCTATCTTTTAAATAGAAGTTTGTAAGCTGTCTGGAATCTCAGCTCTGGGAGAAAGGCAGAATACATAAAATAATATAAAATAACTAGATGCAACTGTCAGATCTATACTGTTACCACTGCCATAGATTTGTGCTCAGAATTATGGATTTTGTACATTTTTATTTTCATTTTGCATTGCACAAGAAGAGGTACAAAAATACTGTATTTGCCGGCGTATAAGATGACTTTTTTGGTCCCAAAAACATGTCTCCAAGTGCCCGCTCACCTGCGCACCACCAGAGAGCTGCTTCCCCTTCCCCTCCTCCGCCCGCCCAGCCGCTTTCCCTCCTCGCCCTCCTTGTCACCGGCCATGAACTTCCAGGGCGGGCCCGGGCAGAACCCCGGGCAGGCGCCACAGCAGAGCCGTTCACTCTATATTTTGAATGGAAATGTTGGGGGGGGTCGTCTTATACGCCCAGTCGTCTTGTACACCGGCAAATATGGTAAGCAGAAAAACTGAAGTGCTGGTGAGCATGGAACCCAAAAGAACAAAAAGATGATTGAGCATGCTGAGTGCATACTGCACCTTAACTTAAAAAAATAAAAATAAAAATAGAAAACAAACGAGGGAGTGGGTGGTATGAAGAAAGCTTCTGGAAGAGATGTGTGGCTGAACTTCGAAAAAGCGCATTGCAAGCTGCAAAATTAATTTTGCCCTAAGTTTTGTAATTCGCAATATGAATTAAATTGGATTCATCTTACCTCCTGAATCAGCATCATCATAGTTTTCATCATCTTCTGGAGGTCTTTTTTTAAAAAAGACAGAGAAATGGTGAACAAAATTAAAGACAAAAAACCGATCCATCTGAAATTCCCTTCATGCTGTTTTGGGTGAAATTCCAGTCTAAGATTTATTGAACCACTGGGAACTTTAACTTCGTTGGAGCCATCTGTGGTTTAGAAAAAGATGCCTTCTCAAAACTCTTATTTTTTTGTTTTTGGGAAGTTCTTTCACGACTGAAGATCAGAAAATACTTGTTGGTACATTATTTCTTCATTTCTCCTTCACCAGGTGTGCTGGCCAGTATTTCTAGGAGTTGTAGTTCAAGAACATCTGCAGACATCTGTGGGAAGCCCTGATCTAGTCTAATGGCAGCTCTGGTGGCCTTTGGCCATGACTGCCAGTTAGGATTGCACTTTAAGAAGTAACACACCTGATGACAAGGTCATCTGCCCAAAATCCTCCCAAATATTGGGAGGTATATTACTTATGTATTTAAAACTCAGTAAACACTGCTGAATAACTACTGATACAAAGCAGGGACCAAAAAATATTTTTATAAGAATTAGGAGATGTAAACTTGATTGAAATCTCTCTCTCCCTTTTCTTTGATTCTGCATTGCCTCTTTTTTCAGGCAATTTTTGAGTGAACATCTTAACAGAAAAGTAATCTAGGACAGCATTTAATGGAGGAGGAAGCAATTTCCAGAGATCTGGTTCACATATGAGCACTCTGAATCTTGTAGGACCATAAACACTCCCACTTCCCATAATATGCTTACTGTATTTGTTCTCCCTTTCATCCACTTAGAAGTATGGCAGAACTATGCTTGGTGGGTGCCCCAAACATGGCAAAATTGCCCTTTGAGGGCACAGAGCAATTTATGAGCAACATTTTAGATTGAAAAATAGGGGGTGCAAGAAGAGAGGAGAGTATTCTTGGGGCCTTCTGGGACACCAGGAGGCCCATATGTGGCACACAGGCTTCTGGTTTAATTTTCTCCTCTTCCTGTTAAAATAAGATGTCTATGCCTGCGCAATAGATACACAGCAGACAGATGAGGAAAGAAATGCAGCTGCAGCATCATGTCTAGCTTGGGTTTTCGGCATATTCTGGGTTCATGTTGTTGCATAGTAGCAAAAGGTAACAAAAAGTATGGTTAAGTGTCAAAGATAGACTAATTCAACAGAGATGAGATTAGACAGCCCCTTAGTTCTCTAAGGCATTGGTCCCCAACTTTGGGTCTCCAGGTGTTCTTGGACTACAGCTCCCAGAAGCCTTCACCACCATCTCTGCTAGCCAGGATTTCTGGGAGTTGAAGTCCAAGAATATCTGGAGGCCCAAGGTTGGGAACCACTGCTCTAAGGAACAAGAAAAAAATGTAAAACAGTGGTTCCCAACCTTGGGTAACCCAGGTGTTCTTGGACTACAACTCCCAGAAGCCCTGGCCAGTACAGCTAGTGGTGAAAACCTCTGGGAACTGCAGTCTAAGAACACCTGGGTTACCCAAGGTTGGGAACCAGTGGTGTAAAAGAAGCACATCTCATATATATATATTTGACCTTGGCTTGATGTTCCTTGGAGGAAGAACTGGAGCTTGTGTTGATGGATGGGAACCTGGAGGAACAGGAGGAGGCAGCAGTGGTGGTGGTGGTGGTGAGGTAGCAGTTGTTGTGGCAGGAAAGGATGGTGGAAGTGGAGGGGGTACATCTGCTGGTGGTGGTTTATTAGGACCTGGGGGGACAGAGGAAAGGAGAGAGAAAAAATAAAACAGAGTAAAGGAAAAAAGAATTCAGGAGAAATTGTGAGTTCTCCATAGACAACATAACACTAGCTTTGCAGTCTGGGTGGCAGACAAAGTCTCATGGAATCAAATACTATGCAAATTTGTCATGCTTGCACAGTATCTCTACTTTAACAGAGCCCCTTAGCGCAGTGGCTAAACTGCAATAGTGCAGTCAAGACTCTGCTCCTAACCAGAGTTTGATCCTGACGGGCTCAGGTTGTCATCTCGAAGCTTACTCAGCCTTCCATCCTTCTGAGATCAGTAAATTAAGTACCCAGCTCATGGGTACTCAATGTGTAGCCTGCATAATTAAATTGTAAACTGCCCAAAGAGTACTTTAAGCATTATGGGGTGATATATAAGTGGCACACTTTGCTTTGTTTTTGCTTTGATAACCGGTTCTCTTTTCGATTGCTCCTGAGATTTGCTAAAACGAAAACATTAGCAAGAAACACAAAACAAAAACAAAAAGCAAAAAAAACCACTGTAGCGAGCACGCTGAAGCCTCTATTATCGCAGGCCTCCAGGAGGTGCTCACCCTTCTACTCAGTTGCTGCCACCAGTATTTCAGTTTCAATACCAATTACTCAGTGAGTCCAGTGTAACTTTGAAACTTAAACTTGTTTATTAGATCAGTAAAATAAAATAGGTAAATCAAAAGTTGATAATCAATTTTTTTCTGGTCTGTAGGTTGATTCTCTGGCTGCAAGTCGAACCTACATTTTGTGGCCAGAGAAGTCTGTAACTCGAAAAGTCTGTAAGTTGAGTCGTCTGTAAATCGAGGGTCCACTGTATATTTTAATGTAAGTATTCAGGGAATTAGCATACTTCTTCAGGCATAAGTAGTAAACATGCCACGTCTTTTTTGCTTTTGCTGTATTTTTTTTCTTGCTAATACGCTTGCACAGACTAACACAGCTACAAGTTTGAAAACTCAAACAAAAATGTACTCTATAAAGCTGCTATGGTGTCCCACGCATCAGTGCAAAACAACATAACCCTAGCCAATCAGTGATGTCCACAGCTGGCTTTTGTTCAAAAATGATACGTAGAACGTTCCTTGGAAGGCAAAAATGGCAAAGGAAGAACTGACGTACCAAATCTCATTTTCCCTGTTAATGTGGGAGTCCCAGATCATTTGTAGAGAAGCATCGTCAAACAGACCATGCTCTCGCTGTTTCTCAGTACACACCATACCTTCTTAGTTGTGTATTCATGTATTTATTTTTCTGGACTCTGGGGATCAAACTACATGACACACTTAACACATTTTGGCAAAGGTGCTCTCCCAAAGGCAGAAAGACATCTGCCATAATGTACTATTTTCCTCACTTACGTATCTTGAACTTAGTGTGCTCTGTTTTATGAACAGTCTCAGGAAGATAAATGCAGGCTTAATTATGCGAGTCTGTTTCTATCACCGAATAAATCCCATTGTGGGAAGGAAAAACAGTACATCATTGCAGTTCCCTTAACATCTAGTTTGACCCTTAGACCAGAAGCCAAGGTGTTGAGAAAATTGGTTAGAAGAGCAGATTTACTGGAGAGAACTGATGGACTTTAAAATATTTAATGTGCTCTGAATAGAGGACTTGGAACAGCCTCTAGTGTGGCTGAGAAGGCCAATTTGAGAGTGGCAATCCCTTCCACACTTAAGACAAATACAACCTGCCCTCTGTCCAGTTCCCTGATTTTGCTGATTTCAGGACTGCCTCTTTGCCTCGGCCTGCTGGACAAGTGTCTCTTCAAAATGGTCTCCCATGACCATGATGCACCACCTGCCCCCAGGCTGACTCCTTGGATGTCAAAGGTTCCCATCCGTTGAGGTCCATTTCTAAGGCCTTCAGATCCTGCTTGCAGATATCCCTGTATCGCAGCTGTGATCTCTCTTGGGAGCGCTTTCCCTGCACTAATTCTCCAGACAGGAGATCTTTTGGAATCCGACCATCAGCCTTTCTCACGACATGCCCAAGCCAATGTAGATGGCGCTGTTTCAGTAATGTATACATGCTAAAAATTCCAGCTCATTCTAGGACTACTCTATTTGTAACTTTGTCCTGCCAGGTGATACAAAAAATGCGTCGGAGACAACACATATGGAACGTGTTCAGCTTCCTCTCCTGCCGTGCACAAAGGGTCCAGGACTCACTGCAGTACAGGAGTGTGCTCAGGACACAGGCTCTATAGACCTGGATTTTGGTGTATGCCGTCAACTTCTTATTAAGCCATACTCTCTTTGTGAGTCTAAAGAGTCTAGACTCACAAAGGTTGATAAATGCAGGCTTAATTATGCGAATCTGTTTCAATCACCGAATAAATCCCATTGTGCAAAGGAAAAAGAGTAAATCATTGCAGTCCCCTTAAGATCTAGTTTGACCCTCAGACCAGAAGCCAAGGTGTTGAGAAAATGGGTTAGAAGAGCAGATTTACAAGAGAGAACTGATGGGCTTTAAAATATTTGAGCATCTTCTTCTGAGTGCTTGATTCTCCCCTGAAAAATGTCCTCTGCCTGTTTTCCTGTGAAAACAGTTTTAGAAATCAGTATTTGCTAGTACTATATGAAGTTATTTCACCAGGAGCTGATTCCTGGAGAAAAAGCTAGTATGTGTTGAAGGTGATAAGGACATTTCCAAACCAATCCTACTGCTCTACCCATGTTATGTCTGCCGTTAACCATGACTGGGCAATGTGTCTCTTTAGATGTTGTCAGATTCACCAGCTTCCACCCCAAAAGGTCAGTGATTATGAATACTGTAATAGGAATTCTACTTCAAGAATATTAGCAGGCATTCAAGGTATTCGCAAAGGCTTTCACGGCCAGGATTTAATGGTTGTGGGTTTTTCGGGCTCTTTGGCCGTGTTCTGTCCTCCGAAGATGCCAGCCACAGAGACTGGTAAAACGTTAGGAAGAACAGCCTTCAGAACATGGACAAAGAGCCCGAAAAACCCACAACAACCAATATCAGGAGGGTCACTTTTTAAGACTTTTAAGCTTTGACAGCTGTTTTGAGCAGCAACTTTTTAGCACCACTAGAAGTTCTCAAATTAGTCTTACGTATGTGTATCTTGTATCCATTTTTAACATGAAGGAGAGGTGCTATTTGGATTTTCTATGTGGGGGTCAAATATACATTACAGAAAATATGTGGTAAGAATAGGTAACTCTTCTGGGGCGGAAATGTTCTGATTGTCACAGCATGAGTTTCTCATTCCTCCTGTTTCTCCTATAGCCAGAAGAGCTGGTTTAATATTGTGTTTCCCCCAAAATAAGGCAGGGTCTTATATTAATTTTTGCTCCAAAAAAAGTGCATTAGGGCTTATTTTTAGGGGATTTTTTTTTCATGCACAACAATATACATTTATTCAGATACAGCCATGTCATCTTCTTCTGGTTGCTGCATAATGGTGGAGGGTGGGTTTCACTTAATTGGGGCTTATTTTGGGGGTAGGGCTTATATTATGAGCATCCTGAAAAATCATACTAGGCCTTATTTTCAGCTTAGGTCTTATTTTCGGGGAAACAAGGTAGCTCAGTGGTTTAGGCACTTGGCTGCAGAGCCAGAGGTTAGGAGTACAGATGGGCACAAATCAGAAAAATTGTGATTCTTTTTTATTTGTGATTTGTTAAGGTCGACTAATCACAAATTACTATTTTTTTCTGACTAATCGATGAACTCATTTGTCAACTTGTCTTTGAAGCCCCCCCCCCCAAGGGACCTAGAGACACTGAATTCACAGGGAAGGTTTCTCTAACTTTCCTCTACAAGCCCTGCAAGTGCGATGAAGTTTGGGTTTCGGACATCAAAATTATACACCCACAAAGTGGGTCCCCCCTAAGAAAAAGTGCCCTTTCACAGCTGGCTTGGGGAAAACTTAATTTTCACCAACCTTGGTGGGCTCACAGAGGAGAGTCAGTAGAAGCATCTCTGTCATTTTGGTGTCTCTAGGTGCCGGGGGGGGGACTGTTTTATAGCCAAACAAATCAATGAATTAAAAAAATCACAAAAAAATCATTGATTCATATTTGTCATTGGCATTCATTTGTATGAATATAAATCAACAAATTAGCAATCTTTGAATGAATTTTTAATTCATGCCCATCTCTAGTTAGGAGTTCAATTCCCCACTGTGCCCCCTACAAGAAGAGCCAGCCTGTGTGGTCATGGGCAAGCTGCACAGTCCCAGGGCACACCCAAAGGAAGGGAATGGTAAACTACTTCTGAGTATTCTCTATCTAGAAAATGCTGGAAAGTGTTGCTGTAAGTCAGAATTTGACAGCACACTGTTGTTGTTGTTGCCAGAAGATTAGCTTGCTTTGATTTGTGATTGGTTAATGAGCCATAGGAAATGTGGCTGTTGTTTGCAAGTCTGATTGCATAGACAGAAAGATCTGCCAGAACCGTTTCTCTGGAATATTGACACAATTTTGGCTTTTCGTGACTAGAGATGGGGGTTTTCATATATGAATATGAATATCCCCGCACAGATGTTGACGATCCTACATGGACAGCGCGGTTCTACCAATGGCCCCGCAGTGCGTGATCCACTCGCCACTCTTTGACCTTGCAGCGAGGCTTGTCCTCCCGCCTCCTGCCAGGAGTGGCGAGCGGATCACGCGCTGCAGAGCCATGGGTAGAACTGTGCTGTCCGCATCCACGGCAGGTCGGTGAGTGGACGGTCCGGCCCCATGGGGCTGGACCCTCATTAGCGCCACCTGTGTGGGGGTATTCGTATTCGAATACCCCCATCTCTACTCCTGACACTCAATTTGCAACATGTAGTTTGGCACCTATTTAGACATGCAAACATCAAGGGGCTGTGCTGGACTTGTCTCTATCCACGACAAAGGCTTGTATCACATTTTTGCCCATTGACCTGATCTGATCTGATAGCACATTGGGTGAGGGTTCATATTGAGTTCCCTCTTCTTTCTTGGTTCACATTTGAGGGAAAGTTCTCAAATACTTGATCAAACAAACTGATAGTCTGGGGATTTTAGAAGGTGTGTTGCAGCACATAAAACATGAAGTGAAATGTTCCCACACTTCTTGAATGACAACATCCTCTTTCGGCTTCAACTGTTTTCTCCAGTTGTTTATTAAGCCACTTCACAATATTGGCAGGCGCCATTTTCGTGTGAACAATCAAGCTTGGTGGGACGTGGTGGCACTGCGGATTAAAGTGCAGAAGCCTGTGCTGCAGGATCAGAAGACCAGCAGTCGTAAGATCGAATCCATGCGACGGAGTGAGCTCCTGTCACGTGTCCCAGCTCCTGACAACCTAGCAGTTCGAAAGCATGTAAAAATGCGAGTAGATAAATAGGTACCATCTCGGTGGGAAGGTAAAATAGCGTTCCCTAGTCACACTGGCCACATGACAACGGAAACTGTTTTCGGACAAGCACTGGCCCTAAATTTTGTTTGTGCTGCATATTATTTAAAATACAGTCAACTTTTTTTTTTTGCTCACTCAATGCTTCTTACACAGTGCTTGCTTGTGTTCTAGTTCTGACAACTGATTAAGAAATACATGCCTAATGTGGTGCTTACTCCTATGTCTGCCGGTGAAAGTATTGTGGCCTTTCTGTTTACCTGCAAATGGCTTGGTTAAAAGAATTTTGAAAGAAAGATCCATGACCATACCTACCCCTGCATCATTTTTTTACTTTAATGTACTTGCAGGGGAAGTGGGATGCTGACTCTGAATGAAGCAATACTGTTGCTTGAAATGAGGTTATTCAACTCCTTGCCAGTGTTTTCCTGACTGAGTCATGCCATCCCAGCAAGCTATTTTTAATGTCTGCCCTGTTTTTGAAGGTAGAGGTAAAGGGGAAATGCAATTTATAGCAAAAACTTTGTAATAAATAATGTGAGGCACTTTAATTAGGGCAAACGGGGTCCTCTTCTACCTCTGGCTCAGATGACCCTGCTCTGCCCACTCCTGTCAGCTTCCTTATGAGATGTGGAAGGTCTGGGTCCTACCTGTCCTACCCACCTGTTTTGTAGTTTTTATTTTTCATAAGCTTTCATGTGTCCAAGCACACTTAGAATTATAGAATTATTGAGTCGGAAGGGGCCTATAAGGCCCCTGAGTCCAGCTCCCTGTTTAATGCAGGAATCCAAGTCAAGCAGATCTGACAGATTGTTGTCCGATTTTCTCTTGAATGCCTCCATGCTTGGACGCAAAGACACTTATGAAAATGGAAAACTGGTAAATCTTAAAGGTGCTGCAAGACTTCTGGCTCCCCTTGTGCAACAACAGACTAGCACACCTACCAACTACATTACCACTACTATTTGTATGTATGAATGCTCACTTGTCTTCTTATGTGTATATATTTGCATATGTATGAATATGGTTTTTTTCTGGCACTGACACTGCCTCTCAGTTCCTTCCCTGCCACCCAAAAAGGGGGCACCGGCCACCACTGGTAATAACAGAAAACAGATCCAAGCATTGACAAAGGGACGCAAAGAACAGAGACATGCTTCTAAAAAATTCTTAAAGCAAGGCAGAGGGCATTCCACTGATTTTGAAATGAAGGAAGCTTCATGACTAAAAAGCTTAAGAATGAAAGAGAAGACCATGATCTTTCTAACCCATGCCCTGAGACTCTTATCCAAGGTCCTTTGCCACCATTTTGTTCTCACAAGCTTTTAAAAATCATTCTAAAGCAGGGTTTTAAAACCACGTCTCTCTCTGCTGCTCTGTTCTCTTTTGCTTGTAATCCGCTGTTCTACTACTGCTTCTAATTTGATATTTGTAGTTAAATAAGATTTCTTCATTTTATTATTGATTTTACTATACAGTTAGGGGAATATTGCACAGAGCTATTTGCAACATTGAGCTTGTACCTATCGTGAGCACCCAGCTAGAAACATGATGCTTATCAATAGCTATAGACATTCAACATAACACAGGGGAGGTCTCCCACATGACATGTTTTTGTGATATTCCTCTAGAACAGTGTTTCCTAATCTGGGGGTCATAACCCCAAAGGGATTGCAAAGTATTTTCTGGAGGGTCACGAGTTGTATATGTGTTGCAGCCCTTGTTAAATAATTTCTCCTTTGACCTTTCGGAAGTGGATATTAAAATTAGGTGTACATATGAGAAACAAGCCCTCTGTGGGAGAAATAAGGCTCTATTTTCTGAGAAGGGATGACTTTACCTCATTAAAAGTAAATGTGAGTGTCACAAGTTACTTGGCTATTATAAAAGGGGGTCACAACTCAAAAAACTTTGGATCATTAGTAGAAGCATAGAGGAACTTTCTGAAAATTACTGGTTTCATAAAAATAAATAGTAAACAAGAAGAAAAAAATTACTCACTTTCTCCATTAGCTTTCCGGTACTTTTCCAGGTCAACCACTGGAGGCCTGTTAGGTTTCTGGGGTGGTGGGCCTAATTTGAATAACGGAGGCATTACCTTTCGTTTGGGCCCTTTTCCATCTTTCTCTTCTTTTTCTGAGTTACTGGGCCCAAGTCCTATTGTCGTCACTCTGGCTAAACTGGGGAATTTAGCAGAAGGTGCACCAGAGTTTGACTCAAAAATCTCCTGGTTGAGTTTATGAAAAGTCTTGGGAACGCTTGGCGTCACCTCCTCGCTCCGTTGCGTAAAAGACTTTTGGAGGATTTGTGTCCGATTGCTCGGTGGCCCGACATGTTTCAAAGGTGAGAAGGGGCTAGGGGTAGAATCCATTCCATGATCGCTCTTCTCTTCGGTGTCTTTGATGGATCGAAATGAATTGGCCTTTTTGACCAGGTTTGTGGGTCCTGGAGGCACCCGGTTCGAAAAGGTGTTCTTGTTGGACGCTTCTTCATGGTGGACACCCTGTGGGCTTGGCTTTTGCCGAAGAGGTGGCTTTGGAAAAGGTGGTCTGGACTCATTCTCCTGGGAAGGAATGCTGAAGTTTTCTCTCACTCCCTTTGGAAAGACAGGCTTTGCTTCATTCTCTTGGGCTTGAAGTGTAAAGCCTGGCCTAAATCCTGGAGGCTTGAGTTCATTTCTTGGAGGTGTAGAGCCAGGTAACCTATTCTCAAAAGGTTTGGGAAACACTGGCTTAGAATCCTGTTTCGGTTCTTCGGTAGGTTTGGGACCCGGAAGCCTTGGGGCTCCAGAGCTTTCACTGGCTTCTCTGTTGGACGCCTGGGCCAACGCAGCAACTTTGCTGGCCACCAAATTGCTCTTCAGAGGTGGTGGCTTTGGATCCTTGTCTGACGTGTCCTGAAGAGAAGGTTTGGCGCCCAGAGGAGGTTTGAGAGATGCCGGTTTAGTAAAACTGCTGGGTTTTGCAGGCGGGCCAGCATTTTCCAATTGACTAAACTTGTCAAAAGCAGCTTTTGTGATCGAAGAAGGTTGCCTCGCAACTTTGGCTTGCCGGTTGTGAATCTCATCCACTAGATTGTTGCCAAATTTTGCCATGATGGATTTCACATTCGCCGTACCATCCTGCAACACATAACAAAGACTTTTTTTTTAGAAAAAAGAAAGCAAGCAAGAGTCAGAAAGCTTTCACAGCAACTGTTCACATCTCCTGCACTTTTGAAGGCTTTCTTGGTTTGAGGCTTGTGACGCTCCTGATTGGTTAGAGATATCTTCACATTTAGCTTCCTGTATGTCTAAAGATGTTCAGCATTTTGCTACACAGTTTTTGTGGTTGAAGTGTATTTCAGGGCATTTATTACTGACAGTTTGGCTTCTTGGGTCTGACCCTGCTTTGTCTGCTGTCATTTCTCTTCCCGTTACAGAACATGGAAGTGATATGTAAAACCTTCCTTACCAAAATATGTATGCACAAATTCACAGGCGTCAACTCAGCAGTTCTATTTCCCTGTAATACTGCTATTTGTCAGATGTATAATAAGCGGTGCTCTGACTTAATGAAAGTAACAGTTGAACTCTCACAGAGGCTATAATAACATGTTTTGGCTTGACCAAACATGTGTGAATGTGAAGATTTGTAAAAGTAGGGACCTGGGCAAGGTACCCTCAATGGTCTCCCTTAGTATGGAAGAAACAAGGCTTGCAAACACAGAATTCTCTTGTACTAAGGAGCAGAATCAGAATGCCACCTTTCTTGTGACAAAATCCCCAGGCCCTGGACACGAAGTCTCAAGGCACTGAAATCTTTATGAGTAGCTATGGAAAAGTCTTTGTCTCAATGTTGTTGCATTCCTCCCAACTCCAACTGTCCCATTGCTTGTTCCCATCTGTTGTGTTGTCATTCTGTGCTGTCAAGATGGAACCAACTTACAGTGACTTTAACAGGGCTTTCAAAATAAGTGAGATATTGAAGGAGTGGTTTATTTATTTATTTATTGGATTTCTATCCTGCCCATCTAGACCAAAGGTCTGCTCTGGGCAGTTTTACCAATAGACCAAAGGTCTACTCTGGGAGGTTTTACCAACTCCACTCTTTCAGTAAATTTCCATGGCTGAGCTGGGATTCAGTCCCTGTTGTCACATATCTAGTCCATCACTCTATCCAGTACACTAAACTAGATATCTTTGTGTTAGGTTATTATTTTCCCCCCTTCCCACATGGAAATTTGTATACATTTTCATATACATTTGCCATAATACATGGTTATTTTCATGCTTTTCCTAATGGGCACTTTTATAACTGTTCATATTGCATATATTCATGCATTTGATTTAATGGATATTTTGGTCCTTGGAAATATATCCCAAACCTTGGAAATCTGGAGGCTTCTGAGGCAAGGCGCACTTTGTGTTGGAGCTTTTGTTTTCAGCCTTGCATGGTACCTGTCATTTGTGTGTCTGGGAGGGATATTTCTGGGCTGGGGTGTCTATCTAGCATTAACCAACAATTCCATCCAGACTTTGATTTCAAAGAGCCCCACCTCTCTGCTATGTCTTTTCCCTCTCTTTTGTGGGTTGGAAGAAGTTATTTGTTTGCTAATGATCTGCTCAGCTGGTTGCTGAAGAGATCAACGGTATACAGGTACACAGGTCTGTAATTTCAAGTAGCAGTAAGTAACAAAATATTTTTCTTCTTTTTCCTGCAAATGTCACTGAATGGGTTACTGAGACTCTAAGTATCAGTGAATGAGAAAGGGGTGGACTCTGGGGGACTTTTAGCTGTTCTCCTCTGTCAATCTCTGTATTTCTATTGCACAGCAAAAAACTGGAATTTTACCAGAAACTTAAAACTTTGCAACAGTTTCTCCTTCAAAAAGTGTCAGGAGGTATGAAGTAGATAATGTTGGTGATAATCTTGAAACCCCCAAAATTCCTTTATTGTATCTCTAGCTATGGGGCAAATTCTTGATCATAATGATACAAGAAAACGGTCTAAACACATTAGACTAGTCTTTGTTTTATGAAGTAATGGACAGAAAAATAGCGCTAAGATAAATAGGTGGCATTAAAAAAAAGGACATTTCCAGACATTGTTGTTTTCCCTCCACTAGTTGTTGAGACCTGACTAAATAAAAAGTCTGAGGAAACATGTATTGCCAGGGGGAGAAGGAAGCCACAATGAAGCAGCCAATTTTCACAGCTCGAGCTAAAGTTTTGGACAAGATACTAGTTGAAAGAAAACGTACAGCAAAATCTTAAACATATTTTTTCAAAACTCATTTGCCTACCTACATATCAGTTCAGAGGTCCCATAGTGTTCAGTGAGGTTTAATCCCAGATACATGTGCAGAGGGTAGCAGCTTTAGAGATTAAATACCACCAAAGATCTCTCCCTGCATTAATTATGTTGTTGATTATCTCTTATGAATTCTTGTGTTTTTCCTCAGGGCAAGCATGTGTGGTTTTGCTCCTATTTTTACCCTTTCAAGCTAAAATAAGGGAAGGTAAACTATGAGATTCCCTTAAGATACCTCCTAAATGCCATTATAGAGTGGGGATCTGAACCCAGTTCCCTTGGGTTCTAGTACGACACTAAAAACTGTACAACATTGTCTCTCATACCTTCTTGTCTCTTTAACCATCCACCACATTTGGTTCATGGAACAGAACACGCTCACTTCACCAGGATGGGAGAGAGCTGGGATTTTAGGCCCTACCCAGTATAGCTAGTGTAAGCACAGTTCTTAGCTCACTAAACTCCAAAGATGACAGCATAGATAATTCCGTATAAGGAACAGTAGAAACGTGGCCATTATGGCAAATGTTTTCACTGTTTTCTTTTTTATGCAAGTCTAGAAATTTGGTAAAAATTTGAAAGGTTGGAAGGTGATGAAGCAACATCAGTGCTTTACTTATTCCTTCCTTGTTCACTCAGGGCTCTTCCAGAAAGTATTTACTCTTTTAAACTTGCAATATTCTGCACTGATATTAGTTGGTATTTATTCTGCCGTATATGATATCCCTCTTATCTTACTTAGTCTTGACTATTGTCACGTTCCTGCCTGTCCCTTGGATGTTTCACCAATCAAACGGCTCCAGCGACGTGTTGTATCGCTGCCACCAGTTGATTACATCAACATTATTTATTATTAATAATAGAGGTCCAGGCAATGTGTCATTTAAAATAGAACCAAATAGAAGTTGTTTATTATTACAGGTGATGAAGGTACAATCTATGTCTTTAACTCTTAACCAAATATCCTACTTCATCCACTCTCAACTTCCAACCCTCTCTCTATCCACCCCAAACTCCAAATCCTCAAATCTAAACCTTTCAATCTAATCTCTTTCTCCTCCTGCAGAGAATCTTATTATGGTCACTGTAATTTAGAAGCAACTGATGATCCATAACAAATACTGTATTCTGCTTGCATATTTGTGAATAAAGCAGACATTATAAAATTGCCATAAGTCACTTAGGATTTCTTATCCAAAGGAAAGTAAACTAAACCCAGTGAAACCTAGAGTTTCTCCCAGTGCGACTTAGACACGGAACGCTGTGAATAAAGTAGACATTATAAAATTGCCATAAGTCACCTAGGATTTCTTATCCAAACAAAAGTAAACTAAACCCAGTGAAACCTAGAGTTTCTCATTAACAGTTTGTAAAGTTGGGGACCTGCGACACCTTGTTGTCATTTCCTGCTGAAGACAAGAACCACATTAACAGTTTGTAAAGTTGGGGACCTGCAACACCTTGTTGTCATTTCCTGATGAAGACAAGAACCACAGAATAATGGAACTGGAAGGGCCATCAAGAAGGCCATCAAATCCATGTTAGTGGTGGTTTTAAAATCCACATGCTAAAAAACTGCATTTTTGACTTGCAGCATGGATCTGCAGTAGATCAGTTCCCTAATACTTCAATTATTTGTAGGGCAGATACAAGAGGAAGCTGCCCTTTTTATAATATTTGTCACTGAATTGCCTCAGTAAGAGGGAATTTAAAATCCACATGCTAAAAAACTGCATTTTTGACTTGCAGCATGGATCTGCAGTAGATCAGTTCCCTAATACTGTACTTCAATTATTTGTAGGGCAGATACATGGGGAAGCTTCCCTTTTTATAATATTTGTCACAGAATTGCCTCAGAAGTGTAAGAGGGAAGGAAGAAGTAAAGTATGGTTAATTCAGAGGCCTCATCTGACTTCAGGAATGCAGATCAGGCTCATGTGGTTTCTGAAAGCTGAAAAGGCTGTAGTTATTCTTTTACTTTACATATTTCAAATGAAAACTTAGGATTTTTTTTAAAGCCAAGTGAGTTGTGCAGCAGCCTGTCAAGAGTGTCAAGAAAACACCCTTACAGGAAGCATAATCATCAGTTGAGGAAGTTGTGAAAATTTGGAAATGTTACGTTTTTTAACTATAGTTCCCAGAATGCGTCCACCAAAATGGTGATGCCGTCTGCAGGATATCTATATAACAACATCCACAATGCTACATCAAACTATACAGTAGACACAATGTATTTATTTATTTATTTATTTTGCAAAAGAGACAAAGCATAGAGGCTTTTTTTTAAAAAAAATTCCCCATATTTTTCAGATGCCATTTCAATGCTGTTAATTATTTGATAGGAGATGTGGGTGGCGCTGCGGGTTAAACCACTGAACCACTGGGCTTATCAATCAGAAGGTCAGCATTTCGAATCAGCATGACAGGGTGAGGTCCCGTCGCTTGCCCCAGCTCCTGCCAACCTAGCAGTTCGAAAGCATGCAAATGCAAGTACAGTAGATGAATAGGTATCACCTCGGTCGGAGGGTAGCAGTGTTCTGCGTCTAGTCGTGCTGGCCACGTGACCACGGAAAGTGTCTACATACAGACAAATGCTGGCCTCTTTGGCTTACAAACGAGGATAAGCACTGGCCCCTAGAGCTGGACACCCCTGGACTTAATTGTCAAGGGGAACCTTTACCTTTACCTTTAATTGTCTGATACAATTTTATGCCTATTATTTATACTATATAATGATTAAGATCTCACACTTTTGCTCTTTTTTTATATTTACATTTTAGCTGTTTAAAATGTTTTTGTAACCCCTCTAGGAGTATGAAGTGCAGTATAA